TAGTAGACGTTCAGCGAAACCAATAACCAGTGAATGGGTTAGCATTGGGAATGTTGAGATATTTTGTAATATTGCGAGGAATTTGGGCAAATGTATTAATGCTAGTAGGGTCACACATACATTTGTCGGCACCGTTGAATAAAAAAAACTTTTCAATTTTCCCGTGTTTCGGTCTTAAATTCATGTACTTCTTAATTATTCCAATGTAGTTAAAGTTATCATTATTCAAAATTGTGAATGTTCTATGTCTATGGGTTTTAGTATCTTTAAAATGTACCACCAAGGCTCAACCTTCTTCCTTCACATCGCCAACACTAATTGTAGAATTCTATACGCGTACAAGCAATAAATAGACCGAATATTGCAACTACCTAAAACCAAATTTTTATAACAAACTTTTATAGCAAATAAAAAAATATCACACACCTTCATGAGGAGCTACCGTTCTGGAACCGTACCCAAAAATTGTATTAACTGCTCCTTCACAAATACTAAAGATTTTTCTGCTGAATAATCTACTGAACAATTCTTCAAAATGCAGCAAGTTTGGAAAATTTACTAACGCCAGTATCGTTTTTGATGAGTACTCGTATACATTTCTTTCGAATTTCTTTACATAAACTCAAACCTTCTTAAAATTTATATGTGCAAATAGCGCAGCATTGTGTATTTATAAGAAAAATGAAATATCAAAAACTATAGCAATCACATTAAATTAAATAATTTAATAATTAAATAATTAAGGATGGATTTCACCAACATCAGTTAAATCTATCTGGCAGATACATATAAACAACCGGGTCTATGATTACAACAACCATTTCCATGGACTTATTTTACAGTTAAATTTAATAGAGGTTAGCGAAATCGGCCCTAAATAAACTGTGTTCCGCCACCGCACTCCCCTCCCGGGTCGCCGTGTAGCTGGTGGCACTGAATAAACCTGATTTATTGTTTAAAATATTCTTCCGTTTTATTTTATTTTCTTGTTTCCGCGGACGCTCACCAAGCAATCTCCCCGGGAGAGGGAGCTGGTGCCCGAGCGACCGCCGCTTCCGACCGAAGACGCCACCCCTGGTGGCGTGAAGGTGTCCACATAAGCTTAGGTCGGCCAGACGCATTTCTATTTTAACGACACTGGTCGGCCCAAGGCTTGACACCGAGGCACGCCGCCCCCATGCGTGCTGTTTAAATAGAGGCCACCGTCGGGAACAGGGATTATTCATGAAGTCATCACGTTGAGTCCAGCGAGTGTCCAGACAAGTTACGCCGAAGTTATTTTGTACATAATCGCTGTAACAGTTATTCGTGTATATTCGAGTTATTAAGAAATAAATTGTTGAGTTTTAATCCACGCCAATTTTATTCGCCCGGTCAATCTAACACTATTTTAAACATATTATCCCGAAACGTTTAGAAAACTTTGTATTGTTAAATTATTGCGAAATAAATCTGACCAACCCGAAAAAGAAATTTAATTAAAATATTTTGTTACCATCTAGGGGTTGTAATAAAAAAATTAAATGAGTAAAGTTAAATTTTGTAATTTTTCAAAAAATCTGTGTTTGTTCGTCTGTACTCCAGGGACGAGCGAAATTCTGCCTAAATAACTTTAGACCAATTGTTTTGGTAAAGTTTACTAATGGAAATTCTTTTAATAAAATTGCTTAAGCGCCCCAATTTCTCACGAGTGTAATTAATATAAGATCAGTTTATTAACAATTTTCAAATCGTATGTGTTTTATATATTTGATGAGTGCATCAAAATTTCTGCTTTACTTCTCGTATCCCCAGTAAATTCACGTCCATTAGTCTGGTAACTTTATGCTTAAAACACGTAAAGTAACCTCATTTGACATACACCTGTTAAAACTTTTATGACTTAAGCACTTAAGCGGCTTAAGCCGAACCACCCTTATAAATCAAACTGGCTACTGTATTACTTAACTCAGTTCACAACTACATTATGCCAACAATGAACAGTAATAATCTTGCGGTTCGGGTCCACAAAGCTTACAATATCCAGTTTGACTTATAAGGGTGCTTTGGCTTAAGCTGCTTAAGTGCTTAAGTCATAAAAGTTTTAACAGGTGTATGTCAAATGAGGTTACAGTAGTCAAAACCACTGTTTTTGACATCAGTTGTATTCAGTATGTGTCTGTTTTGATTATCTCAATGTGTTTTGCTCTATGTGATTTTGAATGTTCGGTCCACGATGTAAATTTGCACCAACTTATTTTAATTTAATTAATAACTCAAATTCTTGGAAGTGTATGACGTAACAAAATTTTGCTCGTTCCTTTTGCAGTTTAATCAATGGTCTGGATAAAATGACACTTTGGGGAAAGTGCTTTTGTTCAGTTGTCCAGTCTTGGGATATACCCGTGTCCACGTAACAGCACATTCAGGTGCAGGTGTGACGGCTTACGAGAGATCGGAGAGGCTTAATACATTTGCCGTTACATGTTCTCCGCAGCTGTTTATCTTGTTTTTCTTTCTCTCCATGGGTGCTAATATTTTATTTTACCGCCAAATCATCATAATAATAACTCGAGCATTATCATTCATTCACTTTAGTTAGGCTGTTGCGAACGCAAGAGATGTAGTAATTTCACAACAATCTATACCTCAGTGGTTTAAACTTGTAAACTTATTTTTGAAAAGCCGAGAAGGTTATGCAGCTGGGAAAGTACGCTCCCTGAGACTTATTTCGTATCTTTTTCCTTGTTTTAGAGAGGAATCACAATTTTTCATCAGCTCTTTGATACAATTAATATATACAAACATGTACCCTATGATTTTGCATTTTAGTCCAGGATCACTTTTCCACGTTACCGGTTTACCAATTTGCATTTGAACGCATTCCGCTATATGAAAACACAACGTAGGTCTTTCATTTTGCTGACAACTGCAGCTCATTGCCAAATTTTTTCGGGGGTTTTATCACTTTTGTGAACATGTCTCAGTATGCTGGAATGTTGGGTATTTCACAGTTTACCTTTTTAAATGTGTATGTGTGAGTAAGTAGGCTAGGATGTCACGAACACACCAGCTGTCGAGTTAATACCACCCTTTTCATGTCTTCGAACCATGCCAGAACAGTATTTTCGCTAAAGATTCATTTAATATTTGCTTTAGAATCGCATTATTAAGTTTTTGTCCTTGGTGAATTTGGTAATTTTAATGTGTACAATCTAATAATCATCACAACGCAGGAGATAAACAAAAATAACATAAGGTGCAAAATTTACTGCTGCAAACTAACATCTGTGTATCCAAAATTAAAGGGCTGCACTATCAACAGACAAATAAATGACCATGTTACATTATTACACAATCCAAGTGAGATTTTTTCAATATTGTGTTAACGCATAATTTCTGCCAAAATTGATAAATGAACAAAACTCGAAAACTTGTTAGAAATTTGAAAAGTAGCCATGAACGGTGGTCGTTAACAAGATGGGAACCCTGCAATGGGTCTAAAAATGGCGGAATACGTTCTAATGCAAAGTGGTGAACCGCAAAAGTGGAAAAGTGACCTTGAATTTACGACCAAAAACATGGCGTTTTTAAGTTCTTTCAAAAGGCTGTATTCTCTGTTACAAAATCTCCTCGTTCTTTTTAAATGTAAGATTACAAATTTCGATCATATAAACACATTTTTTTAAATGTACACAATTCTCTAGTTTGCAACATCTTATCTAAACGGAATGGATGGCAACGCCCAAATTATTGTGGTGGCGTATTGGCAGATTTTTTTTATTGGCAGTTGGAAGAAAAGATCACGATTTAATTCAACACTTTCAGGCACGTGGAACTTGTAACGCTACCGGTTCTAGGCCCTATCTTTGATGGTCTTTTTGCACTAATCACAGCTACGTACAACCATGCCGCGGTGCCCTTGCAAGCGTCTGCTATGCCTATTGTGTCCGCTGGAACCTTCGCCAGCTGCTTCAAGTTTTATTCCCCAACTATACACCTTCCGAATATCTCACGTTGGCGGAATCCGGTATTGGGAATAAACAGTCATACGAATGCAATAAAAATTATCACTCTGGACTTGAGCAGAGCTCTGGTCTCTCCACCCGAATTCATTAAAGCAAAATTCATGAATTATGACTATATCATGAATTGAATTCCCCATTGCACAAAAAAGCATATGTTAAATATCGTCGAAAACCCGAAAATGTCGATTAGTACACACGTCGCTTTGAGAGGCATGTTGTAGAACACATAAATCTTAACACAAAATTAGCATAAAATCCCCTTTCCCTCTTCGAATTCATGATTACATCTACATCACTCATAATTTTCAAAGAGAATCGTTATTAAGTTTAAAAAATACATTCAACCTGTACTAAATTCGTTAATAAATATTTACTGATTATGTAACAAAACATTCCGAAATGAGTTTGGAAGTCGATTGCAAATACACAGAGATATCAAGTGTTCGAGTAAATCTCCTCTACTTGTTCACAAACTTGGTTTACTGGGAACGAGAAATCCTCTTCTCAGTGGATTCAATCTCATTTGCACAGCCATCAACATTTTGTTAAATTACATGATATGAAGTCCTGCTCAATTGAGGTATCCCAAGAACTTCAGCTTGGTCCAGTTCTTTTCTGTTTATTCATCAAAAACGTAACAGAAGTCTTCGAAACCAGTAAATGTCTGCTATTTGCAGATGACCTCAAAGTACTTAAAGTAATTTCAACTAATTTCGATTCAGGATTTATAAAAAGACAGTCAGCATTATTTTCAAAACTGTATGTATTCACAATACACTCCCTCATTGGTTCGTTCTTACGGTTTGAGAGCTCGACGAAGAAGAAAGAAGCGTGTTTAAATTATTGACAAGTAGGTCCGGTTTTGGAGAGGTGGAAGCCGGTGAAGAAAGAGTTTAGAAAATTCTAGAAACCGGAAAAGAAAGTAGGAGCATAGGGCAGGTAGACGAAAGACCCCCTGCTAGTGTTTTTCATTAAAAACCACCTTACAGGCGCTCAGGGAAGCGCATCCGTCTTCCTAGCTGTTATGGAAGCTGGCACCTCGTCGTCGTGGTCCCGCGATTGATCTGCAAAAGGTGTTGGTTCGTCTGTTGTGGGCATCGTCCTCACAGTGTCGCGGCCAAACCATGATGTGGGCGTGTCGTGATTGAGTATATACACGAGTTTGAGCCGATCTATGGAAACGGTGACATCTCGACTTTTTATGTTGACGACGAATGTTTTAGCCGATCGCCTTATGACTCTGGACGGACCGTCGTATGGCTGTTGAAGCGGCTGCTTGGGACCGTCGTGGCGTACAAAAACTTATTCGGAGGTGGCGAGATCTTTGAAAACGAAGGTCTTCTTTGTTCCATGTCGCGTTCCACCACATGGTTTCAAGTTACGCACGTGTTGATGTAACTCTTTGACGAAGCTTGCGGTGCTGTTGTCTGCGCCGTTTTCGTTATGTGGGATGCCCAGGAATGCACCGGGCAGGAGGAGAGGTTGGCCATACGCGAGCTCCGCGGAGGAACCCTGGATGTCTTCTTTCCATGTTGCTCGAATGCCGAGCATGACGGTAAATAGGGCTTCAGTCCAGCGATTATTCTGGTGGCACATTATTGCCGCTTTTAGCTGTCGGTTTAGGCGTTCAACCATTCCGTTGGCTGAAGGGTGGTAGGCTGTAGTTCTCAAATCAGTGGTTCCTAATAAACTATTTAATTGTTTAAATAGGTACGACTCGAATTGTCTACCTTGGTGACTCGTAGCGGGGTGCCGAATCGTGCGATTCATGTATCGTAGAAAGCTCGTGCCACAGTTGCTGCTTCCTGATCGCTAATTGGTACGGCTTCTAGCCAGCGGGTGTAGCGATCTACCATGGTAAGGCAGTAACGACAACCCTCTGAGAGTGGCATAATTACTATGTCCAAGTGCACGTGCTCAAACCGGGCTGATGGTGGCGAGAACGTACCGACGACGGGCGAAGTGACGTGGCATGAAATCTTCGAACGCTGGCACTCTACGCACTTGCGGGCCCACTCTCGACAATTTGTTTTGATTGATGGCCAGACGTAACGTTAGGTCACCAGTTTTACGGTGGCTTTAACGCCTGGATGGGACAGACGGTGGATCGACTCGAATGCAGCTAGGCGAAACGACTCGGTGACGAAAGGACGCGCTGTTCGCATGGAGACGTCGTAGAGTACCGATACGACGCAGCCTAAAATTCGTATCAGTTTGAGCTGAAGGCCTGTATTCCCTATCCGAAATCTTTCGATTTCTTCATCCTGCTGTTGTGATGCTGCGAGAACCTGGAAATCGATCGAGGTCTCCAGGGCCTCGATACGGGAAAGAACATCTGCGACAACATTTTCGGTCCCTGCAATGTGGAGAATGTCAGTCGTGAATTGACTGAGGAAGTCCAGGTGTCGTATTTGGTGGGGCGAGGAGTCGGTATTCTTCTTCTGAAAGGCGTACGTGATGGGCTTGTGGTCTGTATAGATGGTGAAAGACCGCGCCTCCACCATGTGCCTAAAATGTTTGACCGCGAGATAAACGGCTAGCAATTCTCGGTCATAAGCCCCGTAGTTCGACACAGTGGGACTCAGTTTCTTGGAAAAGAATCCTAACGATTGCCAGTGACTATTGGCCTTCTGTTGGAGGACTGCTCCGATAGCGACGGTTACGGCTTTCAGATTTTTATTAGATGCTTACGGCTTGAGACTTCGAGGGAGAAGAAGGAAGAGTGTTTGAATTGTCGATAGGTAGGTTGGGTTTTGAAGAGGTGGAAGCCGGTAAAGAAAGAGTTTAGAAAATTCTAGAAACTGGAAGAGAAAGTAGGAGCATAGGGCAGATAGACGAAAGATAGGACGTATTGACCTTTGTACAGAGATTTATATAAATTATTAATGCGTTCAGGTAGATCACATGTTTTTGGGGAACGGTCGTTCCCACAGTTCTATAATGGAATACGCAAACGTCATTTGGTCTCCTTATATTACATATATTTACAGATTAGAGAGTGTTCAAAAAAGAATTATGAAGTATCTGTTTACAAATGCAATATGATAATATTAAGTACGTAAACATTTAAAAATATTTTGAGCTAGACTTATAAGACTCTATTTTACAGCTCTTAATAATGCATCTTTCTCGTTTACATTTTGCATTGTATTGTCGTCGTGAATAGTGTGTGACGTCAAACTGCTTAAACAGGCGTTGCGATAGGTGGCGGCCAGCCAGCTAGTCGTGTGGGTGGGTTTCAAAAAAAAAGAGAAAAATTATTAGGGCGCCACGAGTTCGTTATAACGCCCCTATCGCAATCGTCTAATCCTGTTTTGCCTCCCCAAACTCGAAAAGAGCAGCTAGCAACCCGCAATGAAGGAAAAAAAAGAACAAATTTATATCTGCAGTCTATATTGTACGGTAAACAGAAAAAAAGAGTCTAGTTAAATGATGATAATAACAAATAGTGTTTCTAAAATATAATCCAGGAAGATCCAAAATCGATAAAGCTTATTGAAAACCAAAAAAACAGTGAAAGTTGTACAAGGGTGAAATTGTTACGTTGTGAGATTGTCACACAATGAGTGACACGTAAGTCAATATCAACTAAATGTAAAAACAAATAAATAAGACCAAGTTGTTATTATATTTCGCGCACTTTATCGTCAACCGATGTTCGTGAACGTACCTTATATCAGACGCAGAGCGTATCAGCTGAGTCGAACGGCGTCTTATCAGTAACGTGATATGAAAATAAGCGATAACGCAACCAACCAACAAAATAGCGCTCCCAAAATAACAACCGGTGCACAAGTTATACCACAGTGAGGTGAAGCCCCAACTGCAGGACTACAATAATCAGGTAGGTTACACAAATCTAAAATCGACAATGGCACAAAAAAATGCCTTCTTGTGTGGTTGTGCGAATTCTGTTCCCGGAATTTTCAGCTTTGAGAGACCTAAAAGTTTAGATTTGTGAAATTGCTTGGAGTAATTGTCGCTAAGGTCTTACTCAAACGACTTATTGTGTCGGATTTTGGAAAAAACCGGAGGAAAAGGTGCTTGCAAAGCACGCAACGTTTGTTGGATTTTTTTTGGACGCCACCACACCCTCAATATCTAAAGCAGCCTCGCCCATCCAGAGGTAAAATGATTAAATATTCTCACAGTTTCAACTTTTCTCGTCGATGAACCAATTTGTGCCCCATTGTCAATTTCCTGGCGAATTTTCTAGAACTTCGTTTTTTTAGGCTTTTATTATTGGAGTGTACTACTCACCCGGAGTTTTCCACCAAGTTCCCTTCGTTTGGTGCTTCATTGCCTGGACGCTAAAGGAAAATTCAGCAGCTCCTGGAGCCACGATTTTCGGGGTCTTGCTGTGATTGCTCGATTATGACTTAAATCCGGATTCCCGAATCCTTTTTGAGGAGAACCCTTCCATCTAGCTGAAGGTGACGTGGAGGACACCGGAACGATAAGTACCCGGAATACCATCCTACCTACGATCGTGCGAGCGTATATTACGATAATACCATAACCTCGGTGTAATAGTTTAATTTTGGCATTTTTTGTGCCATTGTCGATTTTAGATTTGTGTAACCTACCTGATTATTGTAGTCCTGCAGTTGGGGCTTCACCTCACTGTGGTATAACTTGTGCACCGGTTGTTATTTTGGGAGCGCTATTTTGTTGGTTGGTTGCGTTATCGCTTATTTTCATATCACGTTACTGATAAGACGCCGTTCGACTCAGCTGATACGCTCTGCGTCTGATATAAGGTACGTTCACGAACATCGGTTGACGATAAAGTGCGCGAAATATAATAACAACTTGGTCTTATTTATTTGTTTATACATTTAGTTGATATTGACTTACGTTTCATTCATTGTGTGACAATCTCACAACGTAACAATTTCACCCTTGTACAACTTTCACTGTTTTTTTTGGTTTTCAATAAGCTTTATCGATTTTGGATCTTCCTGGATTATATTTTAGAAACACTATCTGTTATTATCATCATTTAACTAGACTCTTTTTCCTGTTTACCGTACAATATAGACTGCAGATATAAATTTGTTCTTTTTTTTCCTTCATTGCGGGTTGCTAGCTGCTCTTTTCGAGTTTGGGGAGGCAAAACAGGATTAGACGATTGCGATAGGGGCGTTATAACGAACTCGTGGCGCCCTAATAATTTTTCTCTTTTTTTTGAAACCCACCCACACGACTAGCTGGCTGGCCGCCACCTATCGCAACGCCTGTTTAAGCAGTTTGACGTCACAAGTGTTATTAGCCAAGGCTCGAATCTATATCCTGCATCACCTAATAATATTGCGTTGAGCAAATTGTGCAGCAGTCTTCGGATGCCCGAATTTTTCCAAATTCAACTGTCGTGGATTAATCCAGGCCAACTTGCATCTACGCTTGTAAATATTTCTTTGCTGTTTTATGTAACCTGAATATTTATACTTGGATTTTTGTTCTTACATGAGTGCAATCAAGTGCGCCAATAGCTCTCAAAAATCTATATAATTCTTGCCATTGTTCTTGAGCACTGACCATTTCCTGTGCCGTATTGAGAAAATGTATCCAATCAGGATCTGTAATTATCACTTTTTCTACACAGTTTTTGATACTGTGGTTTGGTGAATTCCCATCTACTAACAAATCATAGTCTTTACTTAGACATGTGTTTCCTGTACAACGTTTTATCAAATAATATTGACTTGATATATGTATTACTATTATTCTGTATGCATGTACTACGAGTAAATTATGTTATAAAGAATTGCTCACTGCTTCAGATTCCTTATCATCGAATTTTACATAGTTATCAATCACCTTTTTGTCGTTTAGCAAGTTTAACCAGACAGTGTAAGGAATATGAAATAGGACTAATTCCACATGGTAAATTTAAAACATCCATAAGATCTGCACTGTTTAAAATTTAAATCTCTGTTCTCTTATTTAGTCCAAGTACAATACATATAAGCAGCGAGTAGTTTATTAACAACTAAAGAAAAAAGCGACTATAATTTAAGCGCGAGGCACCTGAGGCATATGCTCACCATTAGCGCTTTAACTGTGTCTTTTGCAAAACTGTTTAACGCAAGCACAAAAGGGCTGCTGAGAAAATTTGTTCTGGACTTGGTTTTTCTGAATTAAATTGAGGTTGTGGTGGCGTAAGCTTTCGCCAACACTGAGGTGGAAGAAATGCGAAAGGTCAACAGTCAGTTAATGGCGGAGAATTTTAAATTTGGAGAGTTTTTGCTTGTAATTTGTAATGAGGTCTGCCTGATTTAAATGACATTCGAGTGGCTTTTTTTCGACTTTCTCAAGCATGTTTCTATCTCGTATCCAATCAATACTCCATACAGATCGTCCATACTCCAAAAGAGGGCGTACATATGTTACGTACAGTTTTCTTACATTAAGTATAAAAAGTTGTCCGAGTGCGAAAGCAGATATAACTAATTATTCGCTTTCTTGCTAACACTATTTCCCAGTATACTGTGACCAGAATAAATTTTGTATTATTATTATTATTATTCCTAGGTGGTCACGATGACATATCTCAATGTATAAAAACTACCCATTTAGTGTGTATATATCTCAGAGGTTATTTGAACTCAAATATAGAAAGCTAGATTTGTTATTATTTACAGGATGAAGCGACGTTACGCTCCATTTATGGTATGATGATATACTCGTATGATGTTGTGAATAATAATAGATTTTCGCGTCGTCAGTAAACAAGGAGCAAGTAAATACATAATACTAATAAGGGAAACTTAGCGGTCTACACTAAGAACAATGTTGGACCCAGAATTGTGACACTTTTTTAGAATTCTGAAAGGCTAATCTTCAGAATTGCCAGGTGGGTACAGCGTAACTAGTGAATATTATGCCGAGCTGATCCAAAAATTACGCGAAACCATCAAGGAAAAATGAAGAGGAAAGTCAAGATGAAGCGTTCTGTTTCATTTTAGTTTCACTACGATAACACCCCAATCCAATTTTGCAATTCACATCTCGGGTTTAAAAATTGTTGAACAACCCCCCTATTCCCCAGACGTAGCCATCAGCGATTATTCTTCTTTCCTGAATTGAAGGAATGTCTTCGAGATACCCAGTTTTTTGATGATGAAGGAATGATCATATAAAAGAACAAGAATTTTTTTCTAGGGGCATACAAAAACTGCAGCATTGATATGAACAGTGCATTAATTTACTAGGGAACAATGTTGAAAAATAAAATATTTCCAAACATCTCAACTGTGTCCTTTTATGTTAAGGGTTATGATTGTAATCGAAAATTCCGAAGTGGAATTATTAAGTAAATTTGATATGCCCTTTTCTGATAAATGAGATTATTCACTTACCTACTGCTAAGTATAGGAGCTAATTGCAGACAAGTGTTCTGTGCTTTTTACAATTTTTCTGGCTTATGTAACTGTCAAACTAACAATGGAAAAGATTACATTATATTATGAACTTATGAATCCAACAGCTCTAAGCATCACGTTGTCTTTACTGACGAATCTTGATTTTGTTTGGGCATGAATGATGGTCGGATAAGGATAAGGCGAAGGCGTGGAAAACCACGACATCTACAGTTTTTCGTGGAACGGATGTGCAACGAACTATTAGAATTATGGTGTGGGAGGCGATTGGATACGGCAATGGATCACCCTGATAGAACTATTGATCCACGGCAATACCTTCTTTTTCCATATCGTCACACCCTGCAAAACACTGTTTTTCAACAAGACAATGCCCAACCACACAATGCTAGTTTTGAAGAAGTTGAAGTCAATCTTCTCCCTTGTCATCCAAAACTTTGACATATGTAATGTAAATTCAGTATAAAAGAAAAAAAAATTCTTAGAACTACTGGATCGATAACACTGGAAATTTAATCAATTCTTATTCTGACACCCGTTAGCCTGTATATAAAATTTCGTTACAAAATCAGGATTCCTTCTTGGTATTCTTTAGTGAGATTTAATTCCACGCACTGGTAATGAGAAAAGAGTAAAATGTGGAAAGTGATCTGTGACATGTTTCCCACAGGAAGACTGTAAGTACCTATTTGTATTTGTATATTGGGTTTTTGTCTTGCGTAGTAAAAACCTTAAAATACGAACTGGGCTTTTAACCACACTCTACCAATGGTGACAATATAACCGTTTAAACTCATTTGATTTTTGCAGTTTGCAGTTTGATTAACTAGGGCGAAATTCCAAGTTAATCAAACTACAAATTCATGAAAAAAGTATCACTTTAAAAACTAGTTGTAAAATAACCATTTGCTCATAGTTTATTTTTGTATGCTTTTAATTATATGAAATTTATACTAAAGAAATAACAAAGTTTGTTCTGCACAGTGTGCAGTGTGCAGTGTGAGGTGTATAGTTAATTATATTGTGGACAGTGATCAAAATATGTAACATTTAAGTTTGATTTACAGCGGGACGGCAAATTTGTTTAAATAATTTAGAAAAATACTTAGTTATGCACTGCCAAAATTCAGATATAAAAATACCATCTAAAATATTTAATTTTTTTGTATGTGTTTAAAATATGCGCAAATAAAAACGAAACAAATCTTTGGGGACTATGGAACCATATGTAAACTTCTTATTTTCACTAAAATCAGCTGAGACTTTTATTCTTTGCCATGAACGATGTCAGAAAAAATATTCGGGTTTGTAATTTCAAAGTTAAATTGTAAAATGTTGTTATAAAATTTTGATTTTTTCCCCAAAAATTTGAATGCCTAGGCTTAAAACTCAACACGAATTCATAAATCTTGGACGCAGGAGTATGTAATTTTACAAAATTTAACGACAAAATTGTAAGGTGACGTCATCAATTTTTAGGGAGGTCATAAGCGAATAAATGTTTAAACTTTCAAAGCTTTGCAAGGTTTCAGGACATTCGGTTTTGCAGTTTCAAAGTTAAATTGTAAATTGGTATAGTACAATCTTTCAATTTAAATTTTTTTCCAAAATTACACAGCTATCAGCAAGTCTGTAATTACTAATTATTATGTTTATTCACAGTTGGTCAGTAATATGATACTTTCAAACTTTAAAAGTTTGGAAGTAAGCTGTTATATATTTCACTTCCATTTCAATGGTGGAAAGTGACATGTCTCATTTATATGTCATATTCCACCCATGAGATGGAAATAAATAATATCAGTTTCGGTTTCTACTGTTGATATGGAAGATACCCTAAAACGTCAAATATTGTTATGCTGTCAAGTTATATATCTCAATTTGTGTATTATTTTTTAAAAACTGTTTAAAACGATTATGAATAAAATAGTAGGTATACCAAACTCGGGGAAAGTTTCATTCCTTTCTCGAAAAATAGTTCTTTTCTCTCCAAAGGAACGAAACACCTCGGTATGCACTATTTTTCGCAATCGATCAGTAGTGTGACACCACAGAGCATTTTCAAACGTATTAAAAGTTTGAAGTGAACTGTCATATACTTCACTTCTGTTTCCTGCAAGTCACTAATGTTCCTTTGCACCGCACTTAATTTGATAGATTTGTCACTAGTATAGTAATAAAAGTTACATTGTTAGAATCAGTAGAGTTTGATTATATCCCCTTAAAAAGATCCATTTTTAAAATTATGAAAATTTAAAAAATGCGGTTTACTATGAAATTTTAATACATAAA